GGGGCGGAAGGAGGGATGGAGACGGGAGGGGCGGAAGGAGGGATGGAGACGGGAGGGGCGGAAGGAGGGATGGAGACGGGAGGGGCGGAAGGAGGGATGGAGACGGGAGGGGCGGAAGGAGGGATGGAGACGGGAGGGGCGGAAGGAGGGATGGAGACGGGAGGGGCGGAAGGAGGGATGGAGACGGGAGGGGCGGAAGGAGGGATGGAGACGGGAGGGGCGGAAGGAGGGAAGGAGACGGGGGCGCGACGGCGGCGGGGAGAACATTGAGTCCAGGTGACTGTTCTTCATGAGTGTGTTCTGAAGGAGAGTCACTGAACTCGGAACATTGACTCTGGTCTCCGTCTCCGTCTCCATCTCCGTCTCTGTGACTCTCTCAGACTCTGTTTGAATTTCTCCAGCAGCTTGTCGTCTCTGGATTACACATCCCAGTGCCATCACCACTGCCTCAGCATTGAGCCTAGCTTTAAAGACAGGGTGTGTGTTTCGGCTGTGCCCACTTTACCTCGAAGAGCCCGGTGCGCAGCACCTGGAACGCGACTTTGTACGTCACTGAGCTACCCTTCTTGCAGTAGCCCAAGTGGTTGAGGGGTGTGTGGCAGACCACAGAGTTGACGGTGGTCTCAGCAGCACGTAGATCCTCCTCTGACAGCTTCTTCCCTGATGAGAGACACAGAGACAGAGGGGGGGAGAGAGAGAGAGAGAGAGAGAGAGAGAAAAGGGTGACTCTGAATGCAAAGGACTGAGGGAAGCGAACAGCCATCAGGACACAATGCAAGAATTTCAAACCCGTCACAACAATGTGTACCACGGAAGGAAAGGGTGGCTGAGTCGCAGCTGATTGGTCAAAACGTTGCCACGGAGAAAGGCTGAAGGTTCAACAGCATCTCTCTCCCTCTGCACCAACCGTCAAGCTTTGTCATCATTCACCGCGCCCTTCAGGTGGCAAACAAATGCAGCAACGCTATCACACAAACTGCACCGATTATACCACTTTGGCTACTCCAGTTTTGCTGCAACCAGCATTGCTGCCTGCAAGTGACAGAACTGGCGCAGTAGGTGGCCATTTGGCCCATCCTGGTCGTGCTGGTTCCCCTGTAACCTTCTTGCCTTCTCCCTGTGACCCCTGCACAGACTTGCCTTTTGAGGGGACCGTCTGGTTCCCTTTGGGAAACCTCCATGCGACCTGCTTGCAGGGCATTCCAGACCCCGTTTCGTTTCCTCTGCTTTTGCTGTCCTTTCTTTTTTGTTTAAGAGCACAGAACCGGGAGCAGGAGTAGGCCATTCAGCCCCTCGAGCCTGCTGCCTCATTCAATCCGATCATCTCGGCCTCAACTCGACAACCCTTCAACCCGTTGCTAATTAATAACCATCTTCTTAAATTCACCCAGAGTTTTGGTTTTTACTTTCAGACGGTAGTGCATCCATTTCTGTCACAGTTTGTCCCTGTCTATTCCCTTTTGATCCTCTGTTGTTTGATCTCTCCCGTCTTTCAGCCCCTCCTTCCCTTTCACCCTCACCCTGTGAGCCTGTTCTCCAAATCCGATTGTACCTCTGATCGCACCTTAACCCTATTTCTCCACACACACAAACACCGCACCCGCACCCCCACCCCACTGGCTCACACTACGTCTGAGCTGCTGTGGTCCTCTGGGATTTCATTTCAACTTTCCCCACAGCTTTGGTGGAGTGGGGTGGAGGGGGGGACGGTGGTGGTGGCAGTGAGATATTGGATTCAGAGCGTCCGAGAAGCTGGCACAAAGTGTAGCGCTCTCACCGCTCCCAGCACTTACCCGCCTGCGAGCTGAGGGCACTCTCTGGGGTCCACACCAGCCGCACAGCTAGGAAGTCCTGCAGGTTGTTCAGGAGCGTGTACTTGACGGTGAAGCGCTTGTACAGGGGGACGGGAGACTCGCACGAAGCCGTCATCACAAACTTGGGGCGGTTCAGCTGAATGTTCGGCAGCCTGAAGGAGTGAAGACGAAAGGGGCGTCACACGGAGGGAGGGAGGGAGATGCTCCTGAACTGCCGCAACTTACTTCTGCTTTGTGCCGCCCCCAAACGAAAAGAACCGACCGCACTCAAAAAAACAGAACGCGTCTATACGCACAAATCAGAAGGTGGCCATTCAGCCCTTCAAGTTCGCTTCACCGTTCAATAAGATCAAGGTTGATCTGACTGTAACCTTGAATCTACATCCCTGGTAACATCTTAGCTCCAACCCCCAACCTCCCACTGAACAGGAATCGTACTGATCGCTGCCTTAAAAAGAACACCACCAGGATACCACTTCCTCCGCCCTCTCAGTAATTTGTTCCCAACGCACTCAGCCCTCAACAGAAGCGTTTTGAGGAAGGGTCACTCAACCCGAAATGCCAACTCTGATTTCTCTCCACAGATGCTGCCAGACCTGCTGAGCTTTTCCAGCAACTTCTGTTTTTGTTTCTGATTTCCAGCATCTCGCTATTCTTTCGGTTTTTAGAAGGAAAATTCTCCTCTTCTTCGTTTTAAACAGGCAGACTCTCGGTTTTTAAAACAGTGACCCCTGGTATTTATGCAGCAACAGCATCAAAGATTAAGGGTCCATCCAATTAGTGGTGGTAAGGTAATTAAAGAAATTGATTGACTTGACAGAGGAAAACTATTTTCTTTGATGCGGGAAGAGTTCAGGATATTTTATTTTACTCAAGCATGGGATTATAGGCTTTGGAGGCTGGGCCCATCCCTATTTTCCCTCAAGATGGTGGGGGTGTGCTGCCTTCTTGAACCACTGCAGTCCGTGTGCTATAGGGACACCCACACAGTGTCGATAGGGAGAGAGTCACAGGATTCTGACCCAGCGACACTGAAGGAACGGTGATATATTTCCAAGTCAGGATGGTGAGGGGCTCAGAGGGGAACGTACAGGGTGTGATGTTCCCATGTATCTGCTGCCCTTGCCCTTCTAGGTGGAAGTGGTCTTGGGTTTAGAAGGTGCTGCCTGAGGATCTTTGGTGAGTTTCTGCAGCGCATCTTGTAGATGGTACACACTGCTGCGACTGAGCGTCGGTGGTGGAGGGAGTGGGATGTTTGTGGATGTGGTGCCAATCCAGCGGGGGCTGCTTTGTCCTGGATGGTGTTGAGCTTCTTGAGTGTTTTTGGAGCTGCCTCCATCCAGGGTAAAGTAGGGAGTATTCCCTCACCCTCCTGACTTGTGCCTTGTAGATGGTGGGACAGGGTTTGGGGGAATCAGGAGGGCGAGTTACTCGCCACAGTATTCTCAGCCTCTGACGTGCTCGTGGAGCCGCGCAAAGTGAGGTGGAAATCTGGAAAGCTCTCCCTTTCCAAACAGGTGCTGCGGCTTGGATAGGGGCTGGAGTGGGGGGGGCGGGGTATCAGTTAAATATTTCACGTCAGGGTTTCACTTTTTTTTGTTGCAGGCGGGGGTTAGAGATTCAGTGTGTGTAGATGGCACTAAGATACAGAATCGGCAGTGAGCGGAGCAGATTGTAGAATAGGCTCGAGAGGCTGTCTAGCCGCTTCCTCCTCCTGCAGTGTTCCTAAGCCCCCTATCGCTTTGTGAACATCCTGGAGTGCTGCACGTACCAGTAACTCCTTTGGAGTGCTCCGTGAGCAAAGCTGTGGGGTGCCCAGCATGTATACAATGGGTTGCTGCCACACCGCACTCACGTGAGTGGCACTCTCTGCCACTCATGTGTTGGGCCACCATACTAAATACCGGGCCGATAGTAATCCACTCCCCCTGCTGGTGTCCAACATAGTCTCTGGGGAGCGTTGCCAGACAGAGAGACCTTGGAATGCACGTTCATAGCTCCTTGAAGGTGGAGTCGCAGGGCGGCGAAGGCGGCATTTGGTACGCTTGCCTTCATTGGTCAGTGCATTGAGTACAGGACTTGGAGGGCCATGTTGCAGCTGTATTGATTAGGGTCACCTTTGGAATACTGCGTTCAATTCTGGTCTCCCTGTTATGGGAAGGATGTTGTGAAACTTGGAAGGGCTCAGCAAAAGTTTACAAGGATGTTGCTGGGGTTGGAGGGTTTGAGCTATAAGGAAAGGCCGAATAGGCTGGGGCTATTTTCCCTGGAGTGTCAGAGGCTGAGGGGCGACCTTATAGAGGTTTCTAAAATCATGAGGGGCATGGATAGGGTGAATAGACAAGGTCCTTTCCCCAGAGTGTAGGAGTCCAAAACTAGAGGACATAAGTTTAAGGTTAGAGGGGAAGGGATCTGAGGGGGTAACATTTTCATGCAGAGGGTGGTGCATGTACAGAATGAGCTGCCAGAGGAAGTGGTGGAGGCTGGTACAATTACAACATTTAAACGGCATCTGGATGGGTACATGAATAGGAAGGGTTTAGAGGCATAGGGGTAAATGCTGGCAAATTGGACTGGATTAATTTAGGATACGTGGTCGGCATGGACTTGTTGGGCCGAGGGGTCTGTTTCCGTGCTTTACAGCTCTATGACTCTAGCCCTTGATTTGCTTCCCATTCTAATGCAATATAAACCATGGCTGCTAATCCACAATCAACCACAGGGTGGCAAACTTTAACCATGTCCGATGGCCAAAGCCCTCCTGCTCAGAACTAGCCCAAGTCACTAACTAAAACCAAATGCAGGTGCTGAAGATCTGAAACAAAAGCAGAAATTGCTGGACAAACCCAGCAGGTCTGGCAGCATCTGCGGAGAGAAAGCAGAGTTAACATCTCAGGTCCACTCACCCTTCTTCAGAACACTCCTGTTCTTACAAAGGCTCCCTGGACTCAAAGCATTGACTCTTTCTCTCTGCACAGATACTGCCAGACCCTGTTGAGTTTTTCCAACGATTCTTTCTTTTGTTGTTGAGGTGAAGGTCACTGTTGTGGATCAGCCCGACAAACACAGCGGCTGCAAGAGCAGGTCAGAGGCTGGGAACACTGTGGCGAGTAACTCATCTCCTGACTCCCCAAAGCCTGTCCCACCATCGACAAGGCACAAGTCAGGAGTGTGAGGGAATAGTCCCCACTTGCCCTGGATGGGGACAGCCCCAACAACACTCAAGAAGCTCGACACCATCCAGGGCAAAGCAGCCCCCACTCGATTGGTACCACATCCACAAACATCCCACTCCCTCAACCCACTGACGCTCAGTCGCAGCAGTGTGTACCATCTACAAGATGCACTGCAGAAATTCACCAAAGATCCTCAGGCAGCACCTTCCAAACCCACGACCATTTCCATCCAGAAGGACAAGGGCAGCAGATACATGGGAACACCACCCCCCTGCACGTTCCCCTCCAAGCCCCTCACCATCCTGACTTGGAAATATATCAGCCGTTCCTTCAGTGTCACTGGGTCAGAATCCTGGAATTACCTCCATGAGGGCACTGCGTGGGTGTCCCTACACCACAAGGGACTGCAGCGGTTCAAGAAGGCAGCTCACCACCACCTTCTCCAGGGAAAATAAGGGACGGGTAATAAACTGCTAACCTCACCAACGATGCCCGCAACTGACGAAATGTTTTTAAAATGACAGTCAGGGAGGGGTGGGTTTCCTAACCCTTTCTGACAACAGCCTGATCCACAACAACTTGCAGAATTTACCCACACGACCTGAGTGTAAGTAAAGCTGGTTGGCGTTTATTGCAAAAGGGGATTGCAGTCCAGGGAGCAGCTCTGGTCTCTATATCCCAGGAAGGAGGTGGCACAGCAACTGCTTGCTTCCTGGGACAGCTGAGTAAATTGTGTCGATATTGTGGTCAGGTGATCTCATTGGAAGATCCTGAAGGGGTTTGACAGGGTCTACACAGAGATTGTTTCCACTGGTCGAGGAATCTAAAACCCAGGATAAGGGGCTGATCAATTTGATTGGATTAGCTGTACCTAAGTACAGTGAAAGGCCTTGTATTGTGAGCAGTACAGGCAGCTCACAGTAAGCAAGGTCATACAGATCGTAGGGTGTTTAGACAGAGCGAGGCACACAAGGATAAGAACATTACTCATCATTTTTACAGACTTGGAATTTAGGTTTAAAAGTGCAGAACAGTTGTAAAAAACGTGAGAATAAGATCTGCTGTAGGGAGCTCGTAAAGAGTCGCGTAGTGTTGGTGCCATCTTCAATCTACTTAGCTGACTGGGACGAAGAGAAATGTCTTCATTCGGAGGGAGGTGAATCTTTGGAATTCTCTCCCCCCAAGGGCTGTAGCCCCTCCCTTGTTGGATTTATTTAAGGCTGGGATTGGCAGATTTTTGGGATTTCCAGGGATCCAGGGCTATGCAGATAGGAGGGTGGATTTGGACGGTGGAGCAGTATCGACGGGCCGAACTGCATGCTCCTGTTCCTGGCTCTTGCATGTATTTAAAATGCTGACATAGTGACAAAATGATAAATCATTAAATGTGTGGGGCAATGCACATGGGTTATCGAGTGAAGGATGATTGATTGTGATGGCAATGGTCGATGCCCACCTGTAGTGTGTGTAGATCTTGTTGTCCGGGGGCAGGTTAGCCGTAGACCAGCACACTACTGCAGTCAGTGGCACTTCCAGACCCTAGTTGAGAGGGAGGGAGGGAGGAAAGGAACAAATTATTGCCCTCAAAGCTGACATTACAAAGCTAGCCTCAATCCAGGAACGTCCAACAGCGAGCCCAATGTTGTTACATACAGACAGAGCAAAAGTCTTGTCAGTTTCACTCTGATCAGCCCTTCTGGTAGCTGGGAGAGGCTACCTTCTCTATTAAGCCTGCTCCCTGCACACCCCCCACCCCCCACCCCCCCACCACGCGCACACAGAAAGTAAGGACACGCACGTGCACACACAAAGTAACGACGCGCACGCACAGAAAGTAACGACGCGCGCGCGCACGCACAGAAAGTAACGACGCGCGCGCACACACACAAAGTAACGACGCGCGCGCACACACACAAAGTAACGACGCGCGCGCACACACACAAAGTAACGACGCGCGCGCACACACAGAAAGTAACGACGCGCGCGCACACACAGAAAGTAACGACGCGCGCGCGCGCACACACAGAAAGTAACGACGCGCGCGCGCACACACACAAAGTAACGACGCGCGCGCGCACACACACAGAAAGTAACGACGCGCGCGCGCACACACACAGAAAGTAACGACGCGCGCACGCACACACACAAAGTAACGACGTGCGCGCGCACACACACACAAAGTAACAATGCGCGCACACACACAGGGTGAGTTGGCCGTGGGAAATGCAGGGTTACAGGGTCTGGGGGTGGGTCTGGGTGGGATGCCATTCGTAGGGTCAGTGAAGACTCAAATCGGTCAAACAGCTTCTTAAGGCAGCGTAGGGATTCCACGTTTTCACGTTGCAGTGCACGCCGTACCTCCTTGGTGTCTGGCTGTGGTCTCTCGTTCACCTGCATCTGGAAGAGGAAAGCCTGCTCCTCCAGGGCGCTGAGCTTGGTCGGGAGATGGCTGCAGTTACCGTTCATCCTACAGAATGAAGCCACGGACACGTCGCCCGACTGGTGGCTGTGGTTGTCAGAGGAAGGAGAAAATCAGCGAGAGACACACCATCAGAGAGAGTCCAACGCGGAGAAATAGCTACTTAAACAGGCAGGGTTAAGTGCTCCCCCTCCCCAGGACACTCTCTACAATAAGCCTTCAGACCAGGACACAGGAGCACCAAAGGCTTGCTGGACAAGGCTGGTTTTCCAGGACAGTCCAAAAGGAGAAAGGAGAGCCAGACAGTTTCAGGAAGATGAAGGCACGGCCGCCAACGGGACAGCAATTAGAATTAGGAAAAAGGCGAGAGATTGGAATGCAGAATCTCAAAAGGGTTGTGAATTTTAAAACAGCAGTGCTGTGGGATTGGGAGCCAGCATAGATCAGTAGCAACAGAAAAGGGTGAGCAGCAAACAGGACTTGGTGCGGGTTAGGATACAGAGGAGAGAGTCACTTCTCCCCCATTAACGATATGTTTCATCCCCCTCAAGGTACAAAAAAGATTTACAAAGGTGTAGCCATGGTTGGAGAGTTTGAGCTACAGGGAGAGGCCGAATAGCCTGAGGCTATTTTCCCTGGAGCATCGGAGGTGGAGGGGTGACCTTTTAGAGGTTGAAAAAACCATGAGGGACATGAATAGGGTGAATATTCAAGGTCTTTTCCCCAGGGTGGGGGAGTCCAAAACTAGACGGGCATAGGTTTAAGGTGAGAACGGAAAGAATTAAAAGGGACCTGAGGGGAACTTTTCCACACAGAGGGTGGTGCGTGTATGGAATGAGCCGCCAGAGGAAGTGGTGGAGGCTGGTACAATTACAACATTTAAAAGGCATCTGGATGGGCACATGAATAGGAAGGGTTTAGAGGGATATGTTTTTTTACACAGATAGTGGTTCGTGTGTGGAATGAGCTTCCAGAGGAAGTGGTGGATGTGGGTACAGTTACAACATCTAAACGACATTTGGATAAGTGCATGAACAGGAAAGGTTTGGAGAGATAGGGGCCAGGAGCAGGCAGGTGGGGGCTAGTTTAGTTTGGGATGATGGTCGGCACGGACTGGTTGGGCCGAAGGGTCTGTTTCCGTGCTGTTTGACTCTACGTCTCTCCGATTTACACCGCCCAGCCACTGAGGGGGGAGCCACGTGTCCAACCCACCCGTTTCTCCAGTCCCGTATAAATCCCAAAGTAAGGAGCAGTTCTCACCAGACGTTGTCTACGAGCAGCACTGAGCCATCAGGCATCATGGGCAAATAGCTAGCATTGAAGTTTGGCAAAATCCGAACATCCCGAATGGAGAGCTCCTCCTGCGAGGAGGTGTTTAACACTATCAGAGGGGGAGGAAGAGAAATGTCAGCATCAGACCGAGACACAGCGGCACCGGGTGGGTAGCACTACCCCACACAGAGTTCCATTCCAGTCACCAAATGAACGAACAGCAGCAATGGGGGGATCCACCTGGCTCACAGTCAGCTCCCATCACTTCAATCTCACCTTACCCACCCCCACCAAACATCCAAATACCGACCCCTAAAAGTGACAGAGCAACCCTGAAACCTTCCGTGTGAAGAGATTTGTCGCCGTCCGGGTCCCCAAATGGCCCAGCGCTTATTCTGAGAGGCAGCTGCGCGCACACAGTCTCCCACCCAGCTCCAGCTCGCCCCCAGCGAGGGGAAGAAACCTCTCACAGCAATGACCCTGAAGAATTTTTACAGCTTTCTCTGAACGCGGGAGCAGCTACTTTGTCCAGGGGTCAGATCAGTGAACGGCGGGACATTGGGTCATCAGGGTCGCTGGGTGTGGGGTAGGAATAAGACATACGGCACGCCTCACATCTCCAACTGAGCACTGCAAGTCACTAAACCACGCAGCAGTTCAATCACACAATCTAGGGTCGTATATCTGGAATTTAGCAAGTTAAGGGCTGATTTGACTGAAGTTTTTCAAGATATTAAGAGGAGCAGACTGGGTGGATAGGACAAAACTCTTTCAGCGGGCTTGGAACTGCGGAGGCTGGGGACAGATTCCAGAAATTAGAGCCAAACCTTTCAGGAGCAAGATTAGAAACCACAAAGAGGGTTAGACATTTGGAGCGGTTTTCCGCAAGTGGCAATAAGTACTGGATCTGTGGCTGATTTTAAACCTGAGACTGACAGATTTTGTTGCTTATTGAAGGTGATAACAGGGACAGGGGCCACGGTGGGTACGTGGGGTTAGGTCGAGCATTGGCCTGGATCCTAACGAACAGTGGAACAGGCTGGAGCAGACGAATGTTCCAATATTCATACACTCCAGTGAAAATGTCTTTTCAGGACTGCGGACCTCAAACTGAAAATTATTGCCTGAGATGACAAGATAAAGAAGGCAAACCCTCAAAAGTACTGGACTGCCCGTCCGATGGCAGCGGGGCACCTTGTGGTTACTGACGGTGGTAGCACGTTAACACTGCTCACTCGCAATACTTCCAGAGCTCGCTTTTGGTTAATTATGCACTAACCCTGTGAACTCGCACCAAATAAGTAGTTGTTGGAACTGCCCTCATCCAGGCAAGTGGGGCTGAGGTAAATGATCGTGTCAGCGATTGAGTTATTGTCAGGTAAGTCGTTAGTTAGTGGTTACGGAGAACAGTGTAGATACATCGAAGATGTTAGAGGGATATAGGATCACATAAAGGGGAGGGGGGTGGTTTTAAAGGAGTGGGAACCTGGACCCCATTAGTCCAAATACTGAATACTCAGTGTCAGATTCAGGATGTATAAAGTAAATGACAAATCAGATTTCCCCTGACTACACTTTGAAGGTTATGGCACAGAAACTAGGGTACAGGTTTGTGTTGTTTGAAACACTGATTGCTTCGAATGGATTTGGTCCTAGCAGTGTGGAAGATTATGTTTGTGACATCCTGGCTCTGACACTGCCTGATATTTAATGCACGGTCTGCCCTCCACCTGTGTTTGAGGGGATGTTTCTGCAAAGCTGGAGCAACAAACCCTGCAGAGCCGATTGACGTCATTACCTTTGAGAACAGTCAGCTGTTTCCCCGAGACATTAAGTTGTCGACACTTCACCGTTGGAGGTGGAAGCACAGTCAGCAACGTACTCACTGCAGGCAGAGCAAAGGATGCATGAAGATTTTTCCACCATCTAGTTTATCAAAACCTCAAAAGCCCCTGTTAGATCTTCTCGACAATCTCTGCTCCAACAAGAACCACCCACAGTTTCTCGACCTCTCCTCAAAGCTGAACACCCTCGTGCCTGGTAAACTTCCTCTGCAGCCTTTCTAAGACTTCACCGTTTCCCTAAAGTCTGGTATTCATAAGTGACTATAGCTGAGGCCCAGACAGCGCATTCTATAAAGCTGTGCACAATCTCTCTCTCTACACTGTTTCTCTATTTGAGTAAAGCTGGGGAGAAAGAAAGACATGCTTCGCACAGATTAGCCTCGCACTCATCTGAACACATGCACGAATACCAAATCTCAAAGGGAGCCATAGTTCAGGCTTCCCACTTTCCTCCTGCAGTACAAATTGTCCACCCTTTTGAAATGTCCGTGCACCTTCCTTCTGGGTGGAGGTTGTAAAACTGTAACAGTACGTCTCCATTTGACGCTATTCTCAAGTTCTGTACGGCCAAGTTTTGCATTTATAAACCCAAGGTGTGTTTGGTAAAGCCGAGCCTGTGTGCTGGCACGTGTGAAGGTTTGTGATTTCCGTGAGAAGGTATTTTGCTCATTTTCACCGGAACCTGCCCAGCCAGATGTGGCAGGCGCACTGAACTTCAATGGAGGCCCTTTGTAGACAGACAGTAGTATGGAGGCTCTGGGAGGAGGGATGGGGCACAATGGGTCAGACAGCACCAAGCGTAACATTCGAAACAACCACATTCACGCACAGGTGGTGCCTGCGAATAAGTGGTTGTGGCGGGTGGGGGGGGGGGGGGGGGGGGGGGGGGGGGGGGGAGGGGGGCGATAGCGAGCACTGGGGGGGATAGCGAGCACTGAGAGGGAGTGAGAGAGCGCGAGAGCGAGCACTGAGAGGGAGTGAGAGAGAAAGAGAGAGAGAGATGCGATAGAGCTGAGAGAGATGAGAGAGAGGAAAGAGCGAGAGCCGTAAAAGGAGGGAGGCACGGACAGGTGTAAAGAGGAAACTCCACAGATTGGACACAATCAGCTGAAGGCACGATGTGAGAGAGGGCAAGTTAAGAATAGCCCAGAGACCCTGAAGGGTTATAAGGCCGGACATGTGACACTGATTGGTGGGAGCTTGTAAGGCTCTGACAGGATTTGAAAACAAGGGTAAAACTGTAACGTTTAGGTGTCTCCAGACTGGGAATCAATGTATGTCATCAAACAGTTTCAATGGGATTTGGTGCAAGTCTGACTACTAGCAGCAGCGTTTGAAGCTAGGCAGGTCAAACAAGAAAACACTGGAAATGTGGATATCAGGGGTAACAGAAATGTAAATGAGGGTATCAGTGGCAAATGGGTTGAGGCACAGGCATGTTGTGTATTGTATTGTGTGCAGTTTTGGTCTCCTAGTCTGAGGAAGGACATTCTCGCTATTGAGGGAGTCCAGCAAATGTTCACCAGACTGATTCCTGGGATGGCAGGACTAACATATGAGGAAAGACTGGATCGACTGGGCTTGTACTTGCTGGAGTTTAGAAGAATTGGGGGTCAGGGTTGGTGTCTTCATACAAACATATAAAGTCCCGATAGGACTGGACACTATAGATGCAGGAAGAATGTTCCTGATGTTGGGGAAAGTCCAGAATTAGGAGTCACAGTCTAAGAATAAGGAGTAGGCCATTCAGGGCAGAGGTGAGGAAGAATTTCTTCCCTCAGTGAGTTGTGAACCTGTGGAATTCTCTCCCACAGGAAGCTGTTGGGGCCAGTTTGTTAGATACATTCAAGAGGGAGCTGGAGGTGGACCTTGGGGCTAAAGGGATCAAGGAGTACAGAGAGAAAGCGGGAATGGGAGACTGAAATTGCACGATTGGCCATGATCATATTGAATGGTGGTGCAGGCTCAAAGGGCCGAATGGCCTACTCCTGCACCTGTTTTCTGTATTTCTATGTAAAGTTAGGTAGGAGGGCATGGGTGATGGAAAGGATAGGGGTCACGTTCAGGGGCAAGTAGGACAACAGAAGAATACTTAGAACACACTGTCGTCCATTTCCTCTTTCTCTGAAGACCTCAAGTACAACTTCGAACATGGATGACAACAGCGGAGTCTGACCATTGCTGTGACTAGGCATAGCTTCCAGACACATGCACAATTTCATAGTGTCAATTCCAAGCAGAGTAACAGACATATTCTGCATTTCTCAGCATGGACTATATGATGAAATCCTCTAGTTACACCCGTTAATTTGGCAGCGAGCAAACCAGATCATGTCACTGGTGACATTCAGGAAACAAGTAGCTTATATAAGTTGCAAGGTGGCAAAATCTGATTCTGCCCTGCAACAAGGGTAGGGCTCAGTACAAGCTTAATCGGTCATCAGGAGGTCACAGAAGGCCAAATCAAAAGAACACAGAGAGGACGGAAGGTCAGTGAGTTGTGAGATACAGAGAGATGTCTCCTCCATGTCAGAAGGGCTGAAGATTAGTTATAATGCAAGGAAGGCAGCTGAATGACACTGTGTCTGTGTGGATATCTAAATGTAGTTGGGGATCAGGGAAGCCCTAGGAGACTGCCATTACAGTGTTATACGGCTGGTCTCTCAGCCATACCTTGAGCTTTAAAGCCGTTCTGGTCTTCCCGGAAGATTTGGGAGGGGTTGCGGTTCTGCAGGATAGTCAGGTAGCCATGTTCCCTCACCTCGGCTTTCTCCCGGTCTCTCTTCCATACCGTCACAATGATCTGCAATCAAGGAGATGGTTCAGTGAGGCTGCAGCATTTCACAGGAACACAGTGGCAGCACGGAGGCTGCGGGGGAGGGAAGAGCAGACAAAGATGGGGTGTGAGGGGGAGGGAGGGCAAGAGAGGCGGGGGCGGGAGAGAGAGAGAGAGAGAGAGAGAG